TAATCGATTTTTATGATGCTCATATAAGTTGGGATATGATAACGATTGATGATGGTGGCACTCATACAGGTTGGGATATAAGGAGCGCCAACTATTGTTTAGTAACCACACGTAGAGGGGATCTTTATGAGTCCTCGATAATACCAATCAATACTATTGCGTGATGAAATATAAAGAGTATATAAAATTCTAATCCCAAGGAAGGATGGTACATGATGAATGATTTGATTTGATTGAAATGTATGACTTTTAAAATACTAATATGCACTGATGACTATTGTTATTGAGAATGAAACATTTTATTTAATAGGTATGAAAAAATGAAAGAGTTTCTAAATTGAAAACAAATGTTATTAAAATTATATTTCATAATTAATTTTACTATTTTTTATAATAATTTGACAAGCCATTACGGTTTTGGTTATTATGTTCTTGCTGAGCACGTAAAGCTCACCCCAAATTCACACACTCTCCAATGTAGATTAACTCAATCAGGTGCATGCTCAAGGTCAAAATGAAGATTTTGAATAATTTTTTAGTAACTTTGGGAGTTTGGTTTTGTAAAGCAGACCTAAAGATAGTATAATGATGTAATTTAAAGATTTATGTGCACTTCATGATTTTTAATTCTGTACAGTGGATGTGTGATTAAATTTTTTTAGATTTTAATATATTAATGCGTAAATTTCTCATATTGTATAGGTGCGATAACGCTCTTTTTCAGCAGAGAAGGCAGGTCGTTACATTATATATGTTTTTGTTATTATTGTTTTGCAAATTTTTCTCATTATTTGCTTGTTTTAAAGTTTACTTTATTTTAATCTTAAATTTTTTATTTTATATAAATATTAATTTTAATTGATTATAATTTATTTTCCAGAATACAATTTATTTAAGTCACTTTATGATAAATCTTAATAATAATTTATAATAAATTCAAAAATTATTAATAATAACATTAAGTTTATTACTTTTGTTCAACTTGAAAGTGTGACTTGACTCCTCTATATTAGTAAATCAACATATTATAATATTTTGTTAATTTTATTCATTCAACACTTATATTATATGAGTGTGAATGTGGTTCCCTATTCCCCGTGGCACTACCGTATAGAGATAGCAAAGTACAGAAGAAGAAACCTTACAAAAATATAAAAAATTAAAACAGTTAAGCACAAACGACAACGTTTTGAGTCATCTTGAACCTTCGCCCCCTATATTCTCCCTGCACTCTCTCTGACATGTGTCTACTACTTTTCTCCGTCCCGGAATCACCACCGATTTCCCCACCATATGCAAGAAAGCTAGCAAGCGCAGACGAAGCATCTCTCATCTACTCTCTTGAATTATGGTGATCTGAACTTATATTACAGACTCATACCCAACACCGTTACCATCAACGTCTCTCATCGACTTCTCTCTTGAATTATGATGATCTGAACTTATACTACAGAGTCATAACTAGAAAACCAACTGAAACGAAATATGGGTTGCACGCAATCGAAGATCGAGAACGAGGAGGCAGTGAGTCGGTGCAAGGAGCGGAAGATCTTCATGAAGGAAGCAGTTTCCGCGCGTAATGCTTTCGCTGCTGCACACAGTTCTTACGCCATGGCAGTCAAGAACACTGGGGCTGCTCTCAGCGATTACGCCCATGGCGAGGTACAGAATCCCAGCCACTCGGTCTCTACCGTTCCCCCCTCCTTGCCGAATGCTCCTGACCCGGCAATCCCGCAGCCGCCGGTGGAAACACTTCCCCCTCCTCCTCCTCCACCGCTGTCTACTATGCCGGCTTCCCCTCTTCAGCGCGCCGTCAGTGCTCCGGAGATCAAGATCTCTTCGAAGACCATGGGTGCCCCCAGCACCATAATCGAGGAGGAAGATGGGATCATTGACGAAGAGGACGATATGATTGTGGAGAATCGTGAAAGACTCACCCGGAAGTCGAGGAGCCGTAAATCTGGTGGTGGTAGCGAGAGAGGGAGAAACGAACTTGATGGGGTGGCTACACGGCCACGAGTTGTGGTAGAGGAGAGCATGCCCCAGCAACAGCAGCAGGGTTATTATGATTACTTCTTTCCGACAATGGAGAACATGCCGGGCCCCACACTGGACGAGGTTAGGATGGAGGCTCCGCCGCAGCGTCCAAAAGAAGTGGAGCAGGTTTCCGAGCGGAAGGTGTTCGATGAAAGACCAAATAAAGGTGAGGAGGGAGGCGATGATGGCAGAAAAAGTGAGGCAATGAAAAACTCCGTGGAGTCAGAGAAGGTGAGCGTGGCAGCCGCCGGCGGTGGGTCGGGTAGAGGAGCAAAGAAAGGGAAGGGAGTGATGGAGAAGAGGGTGGTGAAAGGAGGAGCAGTGAACTTGGTGCAGATATTTGTGGAGCTTGATGATCATTTCTTGAAGGCCTCAGAGAGCGCCCACGAGGTTTCCAAGATGCTGGAGGCCACCCGGTTGCATTATCACTCTAACTTCGCGGATAATCGGGGTAATAGTTGTGTAAACTCAGTCTTTCCAGCAATGTAGTTTTTGACATCATGTGAATTGGATGTTTTTTGAGCTCCAATTTGTTTTAATAACTGGTTTGATTGGGGAGACAAGTTTCTACTTTTCTTCCTTCTAGTTCTCCTCACGTTTCCCGATCTTGTGAGTAACTAGTGTGCAGTGGTAAGAACTGAAATCATGTTGCTTGATCTTTGAATTGAAATTTCCATGTTGCTGTTGATTGGGAAATTATAATCTTTTTTTTTATAGAGAGAGAAAGAAGAGAAAGTAGTGTGGGATGGACATCAATTGGGTGCCACTCATTTTCAAAAGGATGCTTAAATTGTCCTCTTGTTTATTTGATAATATATAGTTGAGGTTTGTCAATAATCTATTCTCTTCAATACCTTTCTCGTGGCAAGTTTTAAGGTGCCTTTATGGCTGTGCAGGACATATTGATCACTCTGCCAGAGTGATGCGTGTCATTACCTGGAATAGGTCATTTAAAGGGATGCCTGATGTTGATGATTATGGAAAGGATGATTTTGATTCTGAAGAAAATGAAACTCATGCTACTGTGTTGGATAAATTACTAGCATGGGAAAAGAAGCTTTATGATGAAGTGAAGGTATGCTGTAGAGTTTCTTTGGCGGTCCTTTCTTCACCTGTTGTCCTGGTAACTGTTCTGCACGGAATCATTGTATTTGTTTTGTTCACCACCCTTAGGGTACTAAAAAGACTTACTAATAATACATAAATGGTTCTTCTTAGATGTCAGCTGAATCAGAATAAAGTCGTTCCTTCGTAAACATAACTCTATTAGTAGCTACTGCTCCTTTGCCAAGTTAGGATCTTGTAATTGATATCACGATTAACTCTGTGCTGTGAACTATTCAGTGAACTGCCTGTAGTCGTGGCTGTGAAAGGGTTCCAAGTGTTATCTTAGCGATAACTATTGGGGGATGCCAATCTGTTCTGTAATCTGCATATTGTGTGCCTTGCATAATTAACTTAAATTGGTCTGGGATTGTGAATTTGTTTGGGATATCCTTGTCATTTATTTAGCTGAAGTCTGCCAAGTTAAAAATCACGATTGAATGATAGCTCAAGCAGATAAAGAATTTTTCGCTTATTTCCTTCTGTGGACATTTCCACTTGAGCCCTTTGGTGACAAGCTCTTTATCTATCCTTGTGTTTGCTTGATCTATAATAATGAGTTTGGCTTACATTAAGCATGGACCTTCTTGAGAGGAAAGGTGAATGTTCATTAAAGAGCAGCCAGAGTGCCAATCTAAGTACAATACATATATATGGTATGG